GTCAATCCTGCTCGTTCGAAGTTTTCAATTTGTTGATATAGTCTCTGAACCTCGGAGAATTCTTCAATTCTATAACAGTTCGAGTCTATTATTTCAACTGATTCAGCAGTTTATATAGGATTTACGAGCATCCGAGAAACTCGCCCAGACTCGACGACAGCCCGACAATTGCTAACGAATCCAATCCAAACATATCCCACGGAGTGTTCGGGTCAATCTCATCAGCGTTAGGTGATGTCCATTTCCAGTGCTACATGCTCTAGCAACCACGAAAGAATTCCATCAGGTGTGTTTAAGTCTCCATTCGGCTTGTCATCAGTAGGCGTATGCGAGTCTAAAGTAGCTACCATTGGCACGTTGCCAACCTTTGCTCGGTGCTCAAACAAAGGTGTACGAAGTGTACCATCCAAGAAACGGGCTTTCAAAGCACTGCGCTGTATTTTACCACTTGTGGTCTCTTAATTTGTCTTTTGAAGATGCACAATCGCTTCACATTTTAGCTCGTGCTCGGATAGCACCATCTTGATAATTTCTTGACAAATTTTTTCTGACATTTGCTGTGAAGACCCATTTTTAACTTCACCTTTGCACCTGATCCTCTGATCGAGGCATCCTTTTATAATTAACATTTCCTCCTTCCTCCTTCTGATTTTTTACCAGATGTACTAAAAATTTCGTCATGTAACTCTGCACAGCTACATCAAGCACTCAAAAATGAACGATGTTGTGATACAGATACATATCAAGCGCATAAGGAAGCATAAGCTGGGCTGGTATAGTCTGTCTGCAGCCAAGTCTTTGAGGCGAAGACGATCATTTTTTTTCGACGGTCCTAGCTTTTGCTGAAATCGAACTGCGCGGGGTTCGTAATCTGCATGGCAAGGATTACGTGCTGAGACAGTGCCATCACGGCAATCGTCATATTATCGAGCAGTTTATAGTCGTTATCAGATTGGGTTGTCTGAATGTAATTTTAACTCTATCTTATCATTACATCATTGATTGGCTAAAATTAAAGTTTTCTAGGCCAAGAGATCAAACCATGAGCAAGAACAAGCGAAAAAAGCGGTCGAAGCGTGCAGTTCCATCGTCAACTGCTTCGTTGCCAGAAGGAAATTCTAGCTCTAACGTAGACAACAAAAAACAGAGGACAGAGAAGGCGATTGGTAAAGCTGAGACTGAAGTCAAGATTGATACTCTTAGCTTCCACGATGCGTTTACGACAGGTTTGGCATTTGAACAGCTCCAGTCGCTTGACGGGGCGCTAGCAGCTTTTCAAAGAGCAGTCGAATGTGATCCAAATCATTTTGACGCACTTATACATCTGGCGGACGTCCATTCAGCCATTGGACAGCACGATGCGGCGCTTGAGCGCTACAAGCAGGCCAGCAAGCTGAAAGACGGCAAGGAAGTTGCGTCTCTCTGGTTTCGATTGGGTGTGACATATTCAGCTATGATGCAGCAAACAAAGGCGACATTTACCTACAAGAAGGCATTGGAGCTTTATGAAAAGAAATTAAAATTACAGGACACAAAGGAGACGTTTCTTGTTCAGCTGAAAAAGGATCACAGTGTCACGCTGGCGGCTCTTGCTGAGTCATTTGGTGAGCTTGGAGATCTTGATTCTGCAGTTAAGGTGTATGAAGACGCTGTGTTGAAGCACCCAAACGATGCAAATATGCATTACAATCTGGCAAACATGCGTCTAGCAAGAAGTGAAAACACAGGCAATACTTCCTTTGATACCGAAGTGATGAAATGCTTGGAACGAGCTTTACAGCTTTGTCCTGAGACGCTTGAGTTTGTGAAAGATCTAGCTGAATATCTGGAGGCACATGATCAACAGCCAGATCGAGTGTGCGAACTTAAAAGAATAGCGAAAGATCTTTCTAGTCTCGATTTAGAGTAAAAACAAAAGAGAAATACAATAGATAACGACACTTCTACTCAATCATTGCCAGATTCATCACCATTTGAGACGTGGTAATTGAGGTGGCGCAATGTCCAGCTGCGCTGATGAGTCAGTACGTCCAGCACGGATTGCTTACCTTTAAACGCACTTATCCAGTCAAGCGCTAGCATGATCATCGCATTGACTGCGTTACCGACCTCCCCCGTTGCAGCTCTTAATTTGGCCTCACGTCGTAATTCTTTGAATCTCATCTCCGAATACAATTGAGTCCAGTGATTTACAACCACCTTAAGGTCGAGATACTCCATCAACTCGGGTTCAGGCATCAATTTACAAGAGCCCACTTCGGCCTTTTGCACCAACTTCATTGCATCTTTGTAATCTTCATCGGCACCATCAAAGACCATAAGAAGACTACGCAAATCACCTCGAAGAACATGTGCCTCAATCGCCTCGTATGAATTGAGGGGTGCAAGTGTAACTGCAATATCACAGGCTCGCAATGCATGTTGCGTCACCATCACATCGCGTTCGGATGTCACGACACGTCGTGACAGTGTAGAGCACAGGTAAAGCCCTGTCCGTACATGATCGGAGATTTTTAGCCTTGCATTCGAAGCTGCAACCGTTACATCAGTATCAGCGTGTCCATCAATGGTCCAACCTACAAGAGCCTCGTCTTTCGTGACGTTTTCAAAGCTAAACGGTTGCCAAGCTACCATCGAAAAAGCCCATGACGAGGCTGAATAAACCAGTGCCAGTTGAACAAGACTCAATATTACCACACCTAATAGCACAATTTTGTATGATGTCCTCAATGATTTTTTCAACTTCAACCTTCTTCTGATTTCTGGTTGAGCTGGCGTATCGATGCTTAAGCCGAATTTTGACCGAAACGTGGCATCCGCCTGTCTGAATCGTTTCTCCCATTGACGTTTGTCTTCGTCAGATTTCCACCATCTAATGTCATCGTCCGAATCTTCTTCAGTATCCATCGTTTCCTCTTGTGGCTCCACTAGCAAAGATTCAGGAGAATCCTCGTCACTAGTACAGTCGTTGTCCTCCTCCTCACTTTCTTCCTCTTCTGACGGTGCATAGTCACTCTCTTCGTCATTGCCTGATTCCGGAAATACCATTGAAAGGAAAGATGTTCGCTTTCGTGACGCTGGACGCTGCTCTTGTGCATCTTTCGACTGATCAGATATCGCGTTGTCTAATTTTTTATGCTCGTGTTGTGTTGTGATCGTCTGCTGTCGTTTCAAATCAATTGACGTAGCAAATACTGCAGTTGTTCGGGAAAGAGGTCGCCAGGCTTCTCCTCGACTAGGAAGAATATGTCGCCTAACGGGGCTACATGAAGTTGCCGGAATTGTAATCATAGCTTTGTATGCACAACAAGAATGAGCTGAATGTTTTGTTCTCTATTATTGCATTTTAATTGGTCAATACATTACAAAAGAAAAGTATGAATTCTTATTAATCCTTTAGCACTTCACGACTTTTCACTAAAAGCATCGACAATAAGGTGTGAAGGTCGAGGTGAACAATGACACGTGGCAACCAGCGAGATACCGACCGTGCGGTGCGTTAAAGCTGCTGTATAATCAATGAAACACTTACATTATTATCATGTTTCACGTGTTATTAACAGCGCGCACAGGCGCGACAAGCTAAACATGCAAAGTCCGTCACGCAGGGCAATCCGCTTGCAAAGCGTGAGGCTGATGCCAAAGCACTTCAAGAAAAAATTGCACGAAAGGCGGCAATGAAGGCTGAGGGTGGCGATACTAATGCCGACAATGGCAAGGGGAGCAAGAATGGGAAGCAACAAAAGAAAAAGTGACAGTCCAACGTTAGAGAAGACTAAACCAAAGTGAATATAATAGAGACAAGAATGACGGATAGAAATACATTATTATTTTATAAGCCTGCTCTAAGAAATTTAATGCATTTTACCTCAGCATGGCTCGAAAATCTGCTATGTTGATGCGACCGTCACGATCAGCATCTGCGTATGAAATGAGCATATCCAGATCTCCTTCAGCAAGTGTACCAAAGCCAAGTCGCTCGAACACAAAGCGTAACATTTCGCGCGAGATATAACCTGATTCTTCTGGGTCATAAACTTTAAAAGCCTCTGCTATCGGATCAAAGTTCTTTACTTCATTCGATAATAACAGTGTGTGGAGATATTCTTCCGTGAGCACGCTCTCCTCGCCAAGTAACAGACGCACATCCTTGAGACTCATATTATCATAAAAAATACCAAGTCTTGAACGCAAATTCTCAAGTGTCACGCGACCATTCTTTTCAATGTCAAGAAATTGAAACGCCGTGTGAATTTGTTCTGACGTCACGAGCACGCCACCAAGCTTCTGTACAACATAAAAAAAACGTCAGGTTTTCATTTAAAGCATTGTACTCGAATCAAACGCACATTTTTCAACGGCAAATCAGTGGTTGAAGTGTTCTTCTGGTCAAGATGTAATAAACTATTTTGTTTCTTCCGTGTCACAGTTTCCATGTTACCGTCTATTCCTTAGTAATCGAGGACTCGACCCTCGTTTTTCATTCTAATTAAAGATAAATATCTATCTCTATTAATATGTAGCCAATACAATATCACAGTTTTTGATTAATTAACCATGACGATCAATATTACGACCATGGACCCAGCAATATACAATGACGATTCTTACCGTTCTGAGCTGCTACGCAAAATGCGCACATGCGAAACGATTGTATATCGAGCAATTTTTGCACCAAAGAATTTTACAGGTGGCCAGACAATACTCGTGGCAGCAACGAGCTCGGGATTACTTCATATTTACCAACTTGACCGTATAATGAAGCCTACATACTGGGATCGAGTCGGACGTGGCGAGTACGTTCAAAATACGAAGTAACTTCTTAACTCATTATTTACTATGTTGCTGTAGGGTTACCGCATTCCCAGGGCCAAATCTGTCGTTTCAGGCACATCCGACGCAGATTTATTCACTTCTTTTTGTTGGTGATGTCACGAATCCGTTGTTAATAAGGTGAATTTCTAGACATGTTGATAAATTGCACCAAGTTTAACATAATTGTGTTCTAATAGTGGAGGTGACCAGGACTTTCGAGTGTGGAAATGGAAGGATATTCTGGCAGCAATGGAAAATCCCTTATTTGCTGAAAGGCTGAAACCTGTTCATATTGATCAGTTAAAGCGCAAGACTTTGGGATTCCGAAAAGCGCTTTTGCCAGCTTTTGAAATTAATGAAATTGCAGTGAGTAAAATGACAGGACACTTGTTCTTGGCAGGAGGGGACAGCTTGGCACACGAGTGGGATATAACGACGCAGCAGTTTTCACGACAATTTCAAGGTCATAGTGATTATCTACATGCAATTCAACACCTGCAGCATTCTCAAGAGCTGGTGACAGGCTCAGAGGATGGTACACTCGGTATTTGGGACGTGCGTCAGGATAGAAAGGTGGAGTTCTTACAGGCTCAGCCTGCAACACCGACAGACGAATCGTTATTGCCGTCTCTATGGGTGGGTACAATAGCACACGATGATTCCGAAATGTGGCTAACTTGCGGTGGCGGCAGCAAACGTGCTCATGGTCGTCAACTGCATGAGACAACTGGTGGATTTCTAAGTATGTGGCACCTTCCATCACGCGTGCCAGTGCATTACACCAAGACATCAAGTGACATCCATGACGTCATATTTCATCGTACTGAGCTGCTGAGTGTGGGCAATGATGCCGGGTTAAAAACATGGAACCGTAGTACTGGACATCTTCTGGCAGCTGCCCGATCAACGTTGCCATCCTGCCACTTTTGCGTTGTCGACCACACTACTGATGTCATTGCAGTAGGCGGTGCAGCTCCTTCTATAGATATTTACACAATGCCGGGTGTTGTAAGCTTTTCGTTGGTAGTTGAGGACGAGTCGAGCTTGAAAGCTGCTTAGATAAAAGATTCATGCTGATGTATTATCATACCTTTGCTCTTATCGGCTGATGGATTGATATCCGTACTTTTCGATCACTCACTCCATTGGGAATCGAAATTGCGATCGATAGTATCACATTGATATGATTTGTCACACGATCCTCAAACATACCCCGAACAACCGTCTCGTGAACAATTATCCGCTGACTATCTTAAGTACTGATGTGCGTAGTTTTCGCGCACAATACTCAGCTGATATTAGTCAAGCTCGACATAAAAAAAATTGCGTTTGTTGTCGTCGCTCGTCTGAACGATTCCGTAATTGCCAGCGGGTCGATGATAATAAGTTTCACGTCAACTTTCATATCCGAATATTACCCTTGTTCACGGGGTAAGCAAAGCCAAGCGCATCGTTATGGTATAGGCCAAAGATAACACGAATAAGACTTACACCGCAAAGCTTGACCAAATATCCGAACATCTGTATGCCAGCGACTTCACTTTCAATGTGAAGTTTGCCAACTCTAGTCCTGCTTTGTACTTAGTATGAGAGATTATCCTCTTAACGCCACGTGACCCCTCTACTTGCAAACAGACGAACGTATCTCAAATACGCCCGTGTGCACGTTGTTAACCAAATATTCTTGCACAGTTAAGCTGGCACAAGCCGAATCCAGCGGATACGCAATGAACACGGATACAACTCCAGCGTTAGCACCAACGGAGAAATATTGTGGCGAAGTAAAGCGTCTCGGCACCATCGTTTAAAATGGTTGAAGCCTTTTAAAAGTAGCAAGCTGACTGGCAAAGTAAGGAAATACGCGTACTCAGTGACGCCATTGCCTTTAAAAGCATTAAAGTCTTTTTCGGCGACAATCTGTCGCAAAGGTTGAATCATTAAGCGGAATTTGACCTGAGCAACTTTAGTGTCTGGTATCCTTTCTTGATATAGTCAGTGGAATCCTTCATCGCTCTTTATGAGCCACAGCCGTGCGGAAAGCGCAGCCAGCAACTGAATGTGAAAAATGCCATTCTTTCATCTTCTGCTCATAATCAAAACATTTGTCGCTCCTAAAGAACATTGACTCCAATTTCGCCAATGCGTCTCTATGATTTGTCAATCTCATTGCTTGCTGCTATCACTCTATTGGTATGTGTGATTGCCACTGCCGATCCAAACGTGGTGTCCAACCGCGTCTACACTACTACTAAATTTAGTAGTGTGCATGATGCAGGTAACTTCAAATTCACAAATAACAATCCACGTTAGATGAGTAGCACATTTCCCATTTTTATTTTTTAAATGCAAGTCTTCTTATACTTGTAAATACCTTCTCAATCCACGCAAGGGACACTTGGGTAAGCCGAATTTGAGGCAACAATGCTATAAAATCAAGGTCTACCAGAACACAGTTAGCACCGAGCCGTATAACCTTCTAGCATATATAAAACTGATTTGACTCACCGACTGTTGATCATTATGACGAGCATGTGCGTAGGACAGTTAGTCATTTCGGCAAAGTGTCAGTCGCAGGATTTGCACAGCAACGATAGCTTTTTGCTGTCCACTCTTCAGCAAAGAAATTGTGATTGATTTCTTGTTGCTGGCGGCCGTCAAATAGGCGATTTCTTACCCAATTTGAGCCATTCGATGATGAAAAGGCGTTGGAACTTATTTGGTTTGGTAATGAAATGTCGGAGGCGACTAGGAGTAGCTGCAGCTTTTTTGATGTTTGACGTATACCGTTTTTGCTCTGTTCAACAAATTTTGCTAATGCAGCAGCGCTTTTGCCATGTGGGGGTTTTGTGGAATGTGTTCCTTGTAAGATTACTTTAGTTTATACAAAAGTTTTCGTGAATGGTTCAATTGTTACCCTCTTTTCGTTGTCAGTAGCTTGCGCCAATTTTTCTTGGATTCCTAAATTTTTAGCGTTCATTCCACCCGGGACGTTTCAACTGGGCGCTATAGGACACCACGTTTGAATCGACAAAGGCAATTACACATGCCAACAGAGTTATAACTGCAAGCAATGAGACTGACAAATCATAAAGACGCATTGGCGAAATGGAGTCGATGTTTGTGAAGTGCGATGAATTTTCGATTAAGGGGTAGAAGATGACAGGAAAGCGATCAAGCATTAAAAACGCTACCTAAGCGATAATACTTGGTTCAGAAACGTTGAATGGACCGACCTTCATGTGTAAGACATGGTAAACAGTGTTCATGGAAGATAAGACGAGGATAGTGTATCTGGCTTCGATCGTTAAGCAATATAAATAGAATGGGTAAGTACAATTGACAATACTGTAGAATTGAAACCCTGATAGTAATATAGACTTGTGTATTATTATTACTGCTGAATTTCGAAGTAACATGTTGTTGCTCTCTGGTTGTTTGTTTTGTCCACTAGCGTTCGCCATCCAATCAATCAAACTCCGCACAGCTTTTTTTGTGTTGGTAACAAACATGAGTAATGAGGTATTGATCTCTATGGTGGACCTCCGGAATGAAGAAATTCTTGGTATACATGGGCTGCAAGCCACACATAAGATAATGAAGCCAGTCTTGGAATAAGAGATAGCAAATATGCTTGATTTTAGTCTAGGTCGCATTCTTTTGATATTATAAAGTTAATTATTATTACCTTTGAGGCTCTCGATTGTGCTCTTTATATGAGCACACAAACCTGCTTATGTGTATTTCTACTCGCCGTGAATGGAAAGAACTGGCGGTGTAAGCGGAGTACACGTACCCTGGTATGAAGGGGTGGATCACACAAGATGGTGTGACCACACAGTGGTGTGGCTACATCTGAACAAGAAGCCGCTACATGTACCCAGAGTGAAACGGGGTTACAAGTACCATTATATGAAAGACTGGGCCACATGACCGTACAATGGTGCGGATTACGCAAGTTGATTTAATCACAAAATGATGTGGCTAAACCGTAACAAGAAGCCACTACGTGGCATAGTTGGCAGTAGTTATGCATATTTATTAAGTTTACTATTTAATTAGGAAATCTAAGGTTTTAGATGTAGGCTGCTCCACCGCAAATCAAACAATTAAACACAATTTCAATTTTGAACAGGAGAGCATCTTTGCCTTGGTTAGGTTGTTGTTACTCTTGGAGGTAGCGGATTGCGATTCGCTACACTCGTACTGGTTCTGGTATAGAACGTAAGGTTCGTGACCTTAGTAAGCTTCCTCTAAACAAATAGCTACGGCAGCCCCGCTGCACTTGGTAGCACTTGTAGTCAATCTACTTCTGAGTCGTTACGACTGATCCTCTGTGAGGATGGAGCAAATCTCCTATTTGCCCCAGGGTGTGCAGGAATAGCTGATGTTCCTACTTGGCCCTGAGGGCGTGAAACGTCTTGTTTCGCAGGGATCCGAAGCGATAAATGCGTGCCTAGAGGCGTTTTTGAGCTATGAAATGCTGTGCTAAAGCACCAACAGTAGAAGCTGTCGGTGTCGACTGCGTCCATGACGTCACCGTCGACGACGGATGACTTCTTCCAACCGAGGTCTCATAGTGAGCGTCAAGATTTTCAAGGGTTAGGGTGGATAGATTCTCATGCTCTGGGTGAGATAGGCTGAAATGAATATTGCATCTGCCACGCTCGAGAACGAGCAACAGCGCGTGGCACTAGCTATCTCCAAGCTCGGGGGTTGAGCACGAGAATGGGCACTAACGCGCGGGGCTTCGATTGAAGCGGCGTTCTCATCCTGGAAGAAAAAAAACGTCAGCTTTTGTGAGTGTTCCCGCCGCCTAACCCGGCATATTGCTTGAGATCGCGTTTCCTTGCCGCCCGACAGGGCAAGAAGGAGTTTGCTGACTTTTTTCAAGAGTTGATAACTCTCACTACCGATATGGCAGCCGATCCTCTCCTAAGGCGGTCGCAGTGAACGCCTTTATAGATGGCCTCCCCACCGGCGTAGCTGGAATGGAAGTCTTCCATGTGGATCCGTCTTCTTCTGAAGAAGCAGTGGACGTGGCACTGAATGCCGAATTCAACTTCAAGTCGGCGCGATTTGGTTGGAATTCACACCTTAGAGCTCGTTGAGCGGGCCTAGCCAAAGAATCACAGCTATGCTGAGAAGGAGAAAAGAGCACCAAGCTGCTGAGCAGCTTGTAAACATCCGACGGGGTTTTGTTTGTGGAAACACCCGTCACCTTCAGACTGGTTGTCCCCTGCGCAAGGCGCGTAAAGGCTCGTCGAGCCGATG